TGCCAGCACGCGAACGTGCCAGAGCAAATATATCCTGCACGAGTGTATGCATACACGCATGCAGACATATGCGCTCGCACCCCGACTGATCCGAACGTGTACGTGTGTGTATACACACGAACATGAACGCGACCGGCGCGAGCTTTATTTTTGCTAGCTCGGCACGCGTGCAAAAGCACTGGCCAGCTCTCCGAATATTTTCCTTCTAATTTAATTTCATCGGGCCGGAGTGCAGCGTACGCATTACTTCGCACGTATCCAGAGCAAGAGGGAACAGATTGAGATTGAGAAGGGGGAAGAAGTACGCACGTTACAGTATAATGATGCATGCTGGTGGTTTTTTAAAAGACCGATTAGGAAGATGTCATAGCACCACTCTAAGGAAGCGTTGCGCGTCGACGTGTCAAATTGACTTTTTTTTTTTTCTCTTTCATTTCCTTCTACGTACTTCTTCCCTCTCTGTTTTCCATTTCCGCTTGATATTTTTATCTCCTTTTCGCGGCAGGATGTCGTAATAATTAGAACCCACTGATTGCGAGATCGCTCTACACTTTACACCTAGACTTGCTGTCTGTCCCCGACGCGACGCTGATGCGACACTCGAAAACACTTCAATTTTAAAGGAACTCCCCGTACATTTACTGAACGTGCTATCTCTTCATCCTTTCCACATTAAATTCAAATGTAGACGGTTTACGCAGCTGTATGCGAAGTGCCATTTGCAAATCTGGGTTATGCTTCGTACACATCGATTAATTTATTTGTATAATAAAACGATCGTTTTTCTTTTTTTCCAAATGTCGGACACGTAAATATCTTGTTAGCTTAATACCACAACTGAACAGCTGCGAGATGAAGGACTATACTTTTACATCAGCATGATAGTACCTTACAAATTTCAGCCATTACTCTGCTTTCACAGTTTGTTAATCCTAATTTATTTCTGTTCCAGTGTTATCCGCCAGGAACAGCGCGGGATCTTCCGACTCAAACTCGACGAAAGTCATACTAGAAGAGGAGGATGACGAATCGTTGTCAGAGATTTCACTGGAGGAGTTCAAAGAGAGATACAGAAGACTGATACCGTATATGACATTCTACGTAGCCAATAACTACGTAAACGGGCAGACGTCGTCGGTCACAGAAGCTCCTACAGCGACAGAGATTCAAAGTAGTCCGTTAGTGAGAAAGAATCCGCAGCAGTTCAATCGAGTTAACACAATGCCACGAAGAGGGAACAATTATCGGGCGAACGCGCAAAATCATGAAAAGAAGTTCATCCCGTCTGTACAGTACGATCCAAGAAACGTGGAAGCCGACAGTGAGTACTTCACGCCCGTGAGGTATGGTTTGAAAATCAATTACAACGATCCGTACCAACGGTACCAGGATCAGAAGGTGGTGTATCCCGAGATAACAACGGTATCCGGTGAGATCGGTCATAACAAGAACAAGTACTATGCCAACGTGAGACCATTACGACCTTACACGACAAATGGCAGAGATCACTTGCCTAGAAAACAGCCGGTTAAACCAACCCATAGCACTCTGCGAGACGATTACTTTTACGATTATAATGTCAGGCTTGCAACTAGCGTTCCTCCTAATTATCCCGTTAAGGATTTTCAGGGGCATCGACAAGTTCTACAGCCTACATACCCTAATGTACTGGAACCGGTGTCGGGAGAAAAGCAACACCCTGTGCTGCCTCAACTACAGCAAATAGTAGAAAGTTTTCACCTGAGCGAACGTCTGCCAGAAACATTGAATACAGATAATTTAGACAACAGTCTAAAAACGCTAGTGGAGATATTGAACATCCTTCACAATACGAACAGTGAAGAATTCCCGCAGATTAAATCACCCCCATTGCCACCATTGCCGCCGCCCAGGGTGCCACAAAAACCACACGCTACGAGCTTGAAACAGCGAGCAAAGACAAGGCCCAAAGTTGTAACGGAAATGCATTTTCAAGCAACGCCAAATCCTCTTTTTCTAACCGATGACCCTGAACGTTACAAGGTAACGTCCTACGAGGACGAAACAAAGCACAATTTTTCGCCTCAGTCGAGTTACAACGTGAACAACGTGGCCAATAAAGTGGTCGAATATTATGTTCCGGTGATGCAAGAAATTCCGACAAAAGACGAAGAACCGAGTCTACCAACAATCGCGCCCCATGACGAAGATCTCATCGATCATTCTTACGCGATCACCGAAGATCTCGGTGACGATGTATCGCAACAGGAACGATTCACTATAGCTCCGCTCTCCACGGAAAGTCCGGCTCAGAATTACACGGAACCAAACGAAATCTCAACCCCGAAGCAAACTGTCCCGCAGCCGTCGCTGAAGTACAGTGCCACGCGAGGAAAAGCTAATATCGATTATCCAGCGTATTCCAGTATACCGCGTACAAAATTTAGTTGCAAGGAACAGCGATACAAGGGATTCTTTGGCGACCCAGAAACCGGATGCCAAGTAAGACTTTTTACACGATATGTATTATATCATCGCATTTGTGTTTTCCATCGTGTTTCTGTCTTAAATAAGATATTATGCCTTATTGACATTCTGGCTTACCGCGCAGGTACGCAGTTTAGCCCCGTAAACACTGTCAGTGTATTTCTTTTCATTCTTAACATGTCAAAATTTCAGATCTATTTCGTAGTTTTAACGATAATGAGAACTAACGAGAAATATTATTTCTACAGGTATGGCATTACTGTGATCTCAACGGTGGGAAATCATCATTTTTATGCCCGAACGGTACTATATTTAGTCAAATCGCGTTAACGTGTGATTGGTGGTTCAACGTGAAATGCGAAACGACGACTCAATTATACGTGTTGAACGAAAGGCTCTATAAATACATTCTGCCGATCATACCAAAGTTCCCGGAGGATTTTACCGGACCGGAAGTAGACCGGTACTTGGAGCTCAAATTTAAGGAAATGGAGGCCAAATTAAAAGAAAAGAAGTTGAAAAAGCAGCAGGAAGATAAAGAGAAAGAGAANTTTATAGGAAAAATTTCATATAGGATCTCCATATTAAAAAAATGAAATTACTATGTCTCATTGAAATATATGAGTAGCTATTACAACGAATCAAATTATCAAAGCACATTAAAAATAGCTAGAAATGCCAGAAACAAGCACAATATGCAATAACCGATAATGTCAATAAGTATTTCTCTTTCCCTCTAGTCACGTTTGTACTATAAAATTATTTATAGCAAGATATACTTTGTAAGTATGTAAAAATGATCATTGCAATTAAACATATGTATCAAGGCCGCCAATAGCCCTTTCAAATCTTATTAGATATATGACA